GGTGCCAGTCGCTCGCGAATATGCGCTGCCAGCCGGTCAAAGTGACGTTCGCTGAATGTTGATCAGGTCGTCGACTCTCGCTGATTCCGCTGACGCCTGCAAACATTCGATAGCCCATATCTTTGGTATATCTACCACAATCGGCTGGATAATCTGATCCACCGGATCGCGCTCTCCAGTTAGCGGAACGAATGTTGATCGAGTTGTCCGACTCCCCTTCGGATTCCGCTGACATATACTGCGACGATCCAGTATTATATCCTTTTGGTATATCTACAATCGGCTGGATAGTCTGATCCACCGGATCGCGCTCTCCAGTTAGCGGAACTAGCTTTGAAAAAGAGATCTCCCTGCTTGGATCACCCGATCATGATCGCATTCCAACAGCACCTGCGCGTCAAAAGCTCCATCGGTGAATCCAGCGTTTTGGAGCAACTCCATAAGCCGACGGATCGCTTCCAACTGGTTCGGTGTCGAAATGGGAGCTGAGATTGGTCCTCGCAGCGATCCAATTAACTTCGGTTTTAAAATATTTAGAACGGGATTGCTTGACAACAGATCTTTAAGCTCCTTCCAATGAAAACACCATTCCAACTGATCCAGTTTCCACCCTTCCGTCTTATCATCCTCCTGCGCCGGCTTCATGTCGGCATCATCATGATCCGACTCAGGCGCCTTCATCTTCACTCGAGATGGCTTCGAATTCGGAGTGGTTTTGGATAAATTTCCTTCGGTTTTAACCGTAGGATTTTTATCCAGCGGATCGCGTTTTGCAACGTGATCCGCAGGGGTCCTCGAAAGGACCTGAGGAGGGGGTAGAGGTTTTTCTTCCAGATCAATCTCTTGATCTTCCTCCTTGGTTTTCTTTTCATCTGCGCCCCCCAAAACGCTGATGATCCGGGGATCTTTTTTCTTCACACGTCTGCGGTGATCCCTTTGCCGCTGACGCTTCAATTCCAGGTTCAATTTTGACCTATACATCTTCTCTCAGGGACTCACGGTGAAATCCCGAGTCACCAGAAGATCCGGGCACGCGCACCATTGTGGTGGAGTGGGATTCGCAAAATTGCTGATGCGATCCCAACTCTCCACTGGCGCCCGGACGACCGACTAACGGACGGGGTACCCCGATTCCGTGTGAATAGCCTTCCTCACCTTGTGTACCCGTCGGTAGGGCGGGTTGCTCTCTTCTCGGTAGACTTGAGTCGATGCTGAACTTGACCAGGGTTGGGGATAGGTGGGGGGCGATCGAGTGGAATTCCTCACACAATTGCAGTTGTTCTTGGGGTGCTCTAGTTGATTCGCCCTGATCTCTCTTGAGATCGCCTTGTCCAAAAATGTAGATACTTGATCCACTTGATATACTTGATCTTCTGACCACTTGAGCCGTCTCGCAATCTTGTATCTGGACTTCTTAGTCCTCTGCGTCCAATCGCAGTTTGATTTGTTTTGTTGAGAATTCTTGCAATCCCTGGCCAAACAATCCAGGGATATGACTTGCGTAGCATGTAGACTTCCTTGAGACGTCGGGAGGCCAAAGAATCCAGCCCGGAAGAGAAGTCGACACGTGTACTTAGAAGCAAATTGAACTCTGTTAATGTTAACCAATCAAATACCAAAACCTATGATCTTGACTATCTGTAGCTCAGGATCTATTGCCACGTATTGCCCTTTCGGAGAAATCAGATCTTGTAATGTGGTCCACTCCAATATCGCCGCGATCTGAATCGCTACCTCGCTCGGATCTAATACCATTTTAGTGTCAGATCGCGGTACTAATAATTAGTATCGGATCGCGGTCCTAAATAATTAGTATTGGATCGCGGTACTAATAATTAATATCGAATCGCGGTACTAAATAATTAATATCGGATCGCGATACTAATAATTAATATCAGATCGCGATGCTAATAATTAATATCGGATCGCGATCCGCCGGATCACGACTTGTCCTCTTCACCGCTTCTCAGATCATGTGAGATAGTTCATCTATGTGACATGTCATATCCACCATTCCAGTCCTTCATAGCGACGTGATCCACACCAGACCGTCTTCCACATACTTGGATGTACCCATCCTCCTTCTTAGCGATCGCACTCACGCGGATCGCCATCGGAAATACTGGAGATCGCAATAGAGTAGTTTCTAGGCCATATTTGACCCCACATAGAAGTGCAAACTACACCACTCACTGTTTTCCATCCCATTTGACGTCATCTCGAAACCTTTCTGCGAGATCGCGACTCATTAATATTGGCCATTTCGGACTTAACCGAAAATATGTGATCACACTTTGCGAAATTCACTCCTTCACTTCGCCACAGAGGACTCGGTGATCGAGGAGGACTCCGCGCTTGACGCGGGTCTCTCATCACCAGTCGCCTTAAGATGACCAAACGGGTCTTCAGGCGGTCATACCCCTGACGGTCCCTCGCCCTCACATCGCGCAGATCCGAGGTCAGTCGCGAGACTTGACTCTCGAGATCTGCCACCTACCTCTTTAGCGCAGCGGACTCAGCCTGCGACTGAACAGCAGCAGGGTAGGCAGCCGCGAGTAGGTGGGCGTCATCGCCGCTCCTATCGGGCGCCACCTGTGTTGGTGGACACGGAAGGGAATACGCGCTTCCTTGTTGGAAGGCTGCTGGCCCACCAGTTTTTGGAACGAAAGCTCCAAATCCTTGTCCAGTGGAAGGGGTACCCAACGAGCTTTGACTCGTGGGACCCTGTGGACGCTTTGCGCGTTGACGTGCCTGGGCTGTTGGCTACTTATGTGAAGCAGCACCAGCTGTCTTCTTTCTGCTAGGTCCGGAAGGACTAGCAGAAGAAGCGTGGCGAGAATTAATTTGGGGTCGCTTACCACCCATAATTTAATGCGCACGCTTCATGGCGAAGCTGATTCGCTGCGACCGCTGTTTAGTTGCATCTTCATGCAAGGTAACACGGCGCCGAAGTTCAGCTTCATAGTCGTCGGCTGTTTCGTTAGAACGCAGCACGCATCAACTCGTTTGACGGTGCAGCGGTGATACGTCATACTGTCGATGGTGGATGCCCCAACGCTGTGGACTATGACGCCAGCGTATCACACGAGGACGCAAAGTAATTCAATACCATCATAATAAATTGAGCCGAGCCATGATCTCTTGTCGTTTTCAGCTTTCAAAACCAAGCGATAACCGCTGGGTTTCGATGCAAACGAAGACCTTTGAATCTGTGGATTCTCACATTCAATGCCTATCCATTATTGGCTGCGTAACACGAAAGAAGACAATCGTGTAGAGCACTGCGCTGATGACGTCGGATCGATCCATTATAAATGACGTCGTCGGCCATTTCAGCGGACGAGCTTTTGGGAATTAGAGCGCGACATGTGCGTATTCCTTGCCTTTGAATACCATGGAGCGTTCCTAGCACTACGAGATGCTGTTGCCCCAAAAGAAGAAAACTACTGCGCTTATGCTGATTCTGGCAAAAGTTAGAGTAGCCAAACCCAAAGCGCTGCACGACTTGAGCAAGAGTTATATCTCTGTCGCTGTAGCAGTCAAGACTTATGCATTTTTGAGCCAAGTCTCCTCTCCCCGGGCTTTGCTGCGTCTGAAGTGGTCAAGGCTGACGTCTCCCTGGTCTCCGGTGCGTCTACAGCCGTCACACACGCTGTAGTCCGAAAAGCGATCATAAAAATTCGAGCCCACGTCCGTCACCTCATACTTCAAGGACAAGTAATTGTTGGTCAGAAGACGACCTATAAAACGATGAAAACGTTGTTGTGTTGACTTTCATCGGATATAACCCCAGGTCTATCAATTGCGCTATCAGGGAAGAGTTTACCCCCGCTACCGAAGTTACGATTGCTAATGGGAAGATCAATAACTCCGGATCAGAATGTTTCGTGGTAAAAAAATAATGGCGGGTAAAGTGCAACGGCATGTGCTAATTTGGTCCTCTTGTGAATTTGATTTGATCGTTGAGGTTGCTATTCATACTAGTATCTGCGGACTTTCCCAACACTACCACCTTCTCTTTTCCTTCTTCTCTGCACTGGTGAAATGCTGTCCTGTGGCAGTGGTGCGGTGCCTGTCACACCAACTGTTGGCAAGAGAAGGACAATGTGTCCACCAGTTCGCAAGCGACTTGCCTACGAGACTTTTCTAGAGAAGCGAGCGTCGTCGACAGCGTTTCAGCGACACCAAGTGACCCAAGCGACTCAACCGGAGCAATCAACATGCGACCACGACAACGTGATGACGAATCAAACGCAGCGAGTAGACCCGTTGGAGAGCAGTGCTCCGTCGGCTTTCATGGAGAATATCCAGGCACTGGACCCGTTGGAAGTTCGCAAGCGCAAAAGCCTCGCGCTGCATAATGCTGACCTGGACGAGGTTCAGATCCCGAAAATGCACGAAGGTCTTTGTCGCGTCTTCTGCCAGCCCAGCTTGTGGTCTCCTGCGTTTGCTTCGCCTGGCGACTTTACGATCAAGCTGGCGTCGGTATTTCAGGTTCATGGCGAAGTCTGCCTCCGTATTGCCGTAATGTGTTGCTGCGCTAGATCTATTTGTGATGGCTCGCGCGTCAAGCCAGCATCGAAGCGGCAGTATTACATCTCGTACGTTGAGCGAACGCAACAGGAGACAATTCAGCTGACGGAAGCGCTATCGCTTCAGTATCTAGGACATCTTTTGGCGGATAAATTGCCCACGCATGGAACACTTCTCATTAGGAAGCAGCGAGCTCTAGACGAGTACGGGGAACAAGTGATTCAGTTCTTATGCTTCGTGATGCAGATCACCGCGACCGGCTTAAACCGACTTGTGGCACTAAAAGAGCCTGTGTCAAGCAACGTGCGAGTACGCGACTTCTTAGGTCTAGCACTGAGCTTTGGCGAGCAGACAATCGTCGCAACGAGCTCATGCGACGCTCGAATTGAAGGACAATACGACGGTAATCGACCGGTGCTTCCAAGCGCATGGCTAAATCTCGACTTGAATATGTCTTCGGATCTAAGCTTTTACGGAAATGGGAACGCCACGAAGCGATCCCAATTCAACGGCAACATTTGCAGCGATTTTGGGCCGCTGACACGGTCATATAGTCTTAAACGGCCGGGGTCTAGCAAGTGTGTCCGCTTCATTGACCCTTGTTACTGGTTTGATGAGACGCCAAATGACGGGTCGTTTACGGTCGAGATATCTAGTGTATCAATCATGGATGGCGTGGCTAAGTTTGCAATCAGTGTGCTTTTTTTCGTGGACGGAGGCTTAGAAGTGAAGACCGTCGATCGTCGCTACTCCGAGTTTGATGAGCTAGCACTGACACTCGAGGATAAGGTGCCTTCGCTCCAAATCCGTAAGTTGCTCCCACCGAAGACTTTTTTCCGATATCTCTCGGCCAGCTACCTCGAGCGTCGAGCAGCGTCCTTGCAGCTTTTTCTGGAGCGCATACTTTCTCTGAATTTTAAAGGAGCACTCAATGAGAAGATTCCGTTTACGGCGGAGCCTCATGTCCGTCGCTTCCTGAAGCTGCATGCTGTTGAATGGATCGTGGTTCCGTTGAGTAAATTGTCGCCGACATCAAAGAGAGCTCGAGATGGCTTTCGAATGAACTTCTCCCTATCACCTACGGCAGCGTCCGATTTGTCACCATGCTTGAATATTTCGCCTGGGCGTAATCGGCGTTGCATTTCTTCTGAGTCGATGGTACTTCACTACGAAGATCTTTCTTCGAGACGTACCGATTCCATGTAGAAAGAATGCACAACCACAGTCATATGAATCTGCTCACACGTCACATATCTGTGACTTGTGAGAGGCCTATCATTTTTCATTGCTGATGCTAAAAAGCAGGTGCAACTCGAATAGACGACCATGGAGAAGGCAAAAGAGGACGAGCTACGGGAACTTACGCAGCGCGTGTGCGAGAGCGTCACAGCGTATGTTGGTGCACAGCTCGATGGTGAGTGGAAGACACAAGGACAAACGATTGTTTTTGATGCGAAAGCCTAAAGCACTGCTCTTGCAGGCTCACTGGAGTCAATGCAGTTGATGGAGACCGTCGTAAACAATATCAATGCCAAGTATATAGGGATGAAGCGAGAGGCCACGAGCATTGGCAAACTGTCAAAAGTACTGGAGACACGAGGTAAGTAACGCAATAAAAGAGAAGTTTAGTCGATTGGTAGTGACAGTTTTTAAAACTGCTGCTATTAGCATTTGCAATGAAGGAAAAGATGAATATCATTGATGATATCGATGAGGAGCTGGCGGAGCTTGAGGACATGGTGGACCAGCTCGAGCAGTACACGGGGTCTCTGGGTTCGTACCAATGGAATTGCCTTCTTACAATAATGTGCCGTCGATACTGACCAACTACTGCTCATTTATGCAGAAAACAAGTTCAATGAAGTGCACTAGGTTTAATTAAGAACGACCAAGTAGTAAAATCGATCTGTGTGGTGACTAATTTTAACGTGCAATTGTCTCGTATGGACGTCAAGTCAAAGGCGATTCCATTCATGCCCTTTAGACATGAAGGTCCTTGTGTGCTGGACTTAGTGTCGCTTATTGTCAGAGCGCAGCAATGAACTTGGTTTTAGTATGCGATTATAAGCGTTGTGTTCCGTCTTCTACTTTTCGCTCTGAATGGAAGCCAGAATACGCCCGAAACCTGCAGTGGGTTAAACATGGGACCTTTCACTATAGCAAATAGCCCGCGACGCACAGGCTCGAGTTTTGGCTACTAACAACTAGTAACGAGCGCAGGATGTCCACCATGCAAAACATGAAGTGTGTGGTCGTCGGGTGAGTGGCAGCGAACGACTTACAAAGCGAAAGTATTGTGCATTGTTGCTCTGGTGCTGACGTATTACTTTACTTGATCTATTAGTGATGGTGCCGTGGGCAAGACGTGTGTGCTCATCTCGTACACGACTAACACGTTCCCAGGCGAGTACATCCCGACGGTGTTCGACAACTACAGCGCCAACGTGATGGTGGACAATCAACCGATCAATTTGGGGCTCTGGGATACGGCAGGACAGGAGGACTACGACCGACTACGGCCACTAAGTTACCCGCAGACGGACGTGTTTCTCATTTGCTTTTCCGTTGTCAGGTGCGGTCACAAGCAAAAAAAGTTGCGGTCTGTTCTATTTTACTGACTTTCTTGTTGTTAGTCGTGCTTCGTTTGAAAATGTCAAGTCCAAATGGCTGCCCGAGATCCGCCACCACGCACCGGGAGTGCCTTTTATTCTAATTGGTACCAAGTGCGATTTGCGTGACGATGAAGAGACACTGGAGCAGCTACGGGAGAAAAAGCTCGCTCCGATCAGCAAAGAACAGGTGCGTTTGAATAATTGGAGGAATGACTGTGCTTTATCCTGACGAAACCGCTGCTACTCAGGGTGAGATGCTTTCGATCGAGATCGGTGCGTACAAATATATGGAGTGTTCAGCATTGACGCAGAAAGGGCTCAAGCTGGTCTTCGACGTGGCAATTCGGTGTGTTATCATCAACCAGCAGAATCCTAAGCGCAAAAAAAAATCGTTTAGGTGCTCGATTTTGTAGCGCACTGGGCAGAAATATCGCTAAGCTAATACAATATTATTGTACGTACACGGTTTTAGTTTTACCTATCTATCACTAACAACTCTTAGCAAGCTTTCCATCACGTCCTTCACGGCTCTGCGTCTCCTTGTCACCTCGATCCAACTCTTCCACAAGTCTTCAGATGCCTCGTACCAGTGCAAAATCACAACTCACTCGATGGATTGTTCTTTCAGAGCGCCGATGTTCCTTTATCACTTGTTGGAACACGTCCGGAAATGGAATTCCAATCAGTGCTGCAAACGGCAGCAGGAATGACCACACTGGGAAGCACGTCATGGCATGAAATCTGGGTTTGAGGTGCGCGGAATCCATCTACAGACGTCAGGAGCTTGTCCAAGTATCTGCGCGCATGATGACAGCAATGCATTAAGCAGCACGTGCATAATGAGCTCTGCTGCCGACAAATATATTGTATTGTATTGTTATGGTCCTGGATGCCATTGTCACTGTCTTGTCTTGCAAGTCGCCCAGTTGCTGGCATAGCACCGCCGAGATGCCTTTCTGTTGTGCAATACGACTCAACCGCTGAGCTTCTGGATGATGGAAAGCTTGTCGCACGAGCGATGATGGTGGAGCAACAATGCTATTGTTATTTGTAGAAAAGGTATCGGCAGGAACGAGTCCACCAAGAGGCAGAGCTCGGGTAATACTCGGCGAGTGTCAGAAAGTGAACACTGTAGCATCTCAGTAGGCGTCACCTGTTGTGTATACATACGACGTGCTAAAATACTCACGCAATCGTTTGGCCGCTGCAACAGAGAGAGCACTTCTCGCAGCTCTTGACGCTGCATGGGGTCCGTAGATACTACAACAATGAATACATGATCAAGAACTAATTATTGCAGGGTCTAGGCCGAGCCGTTCCAGCGTTGTAACAGCGGTACCACTAGTCAGCTCTGTATTTTCGTTTTCTACCCTTGTCTTTGCCCATCGAGCAGTATACTATTTTACTGTTTAATTCAAATAGACGGTCTCTCTAGTATCTCGATGGAGTTGTCCTGTCGTTTCTGTTGTCCCATATGGCTGTCTCTTTTAAAGCATTCAAGCACTTGGGAAAGGCTTTCTACAAACATGGCCATCTTTTTTTCTACCTAATATGCGTTTCGAAAAGCAACATTTTCGCCGACGACTCCGCGTTTGTATTCTTCGTGGCTTGCTTTACACGTTGCATTGCCTCAGTCATTAAGTCAAGCTCGAGTTACCTCACGGATGTGAATGGTGATGTGTGTGTGCGGTAGCAGTGTTTCCTTGTTCAATAAACTCTCAAAATCGGATCAGCTCTGTAATCTCGTTTATTTTCTTTCTATTCCCGTCTATGTCCATACAGCAGAGCCGGTAATAATTCCCTCGTCGTCCATTCGCACTCGCCCCCAGCTCGCAGTGATCTCGACTTCGCATTTCCAAATAGTTGCCCTTAAGACCATGTATCCTCATCCCATGAACATTTGTGCGGTCATTGCTGTCCATCTAGTAATTGTTGGTGCGCATGATGTGTCACCTAACGGCATCACCAAGTCAGCTCCTGCACTTCAACTTGGTGAAGGAACTAAGCACTTGAGGACTCACAGGTCCACACAAGATAATGAAGAGGAGCGAGGTAACAATGATATTGCTACTGAAATGAGCTCGATGGCGGAGGGGGTCATAAGTGCCTCATCACCAGGGAAGGAAGCCTTGGATCAGATTAATGAGTGGTTGTTTGCTGACAAACATGACGGGAAGGCGGTAGACGAGGAAATTTTGGACGCCTACGAAGAAAAGTTGAAAAAAGAATTAAGCGATTCCCCCACGCTCGCTGAGTTCTCTCAGCCCACCCTCGCTGAGTCCTCTCAGCGCACGCTTGCTGAACCCGTTCACGCTACGGTCGCTGAACCCCTTATAACTCGATTTGAAGACAAGGGTCCGGCTGAGTTCGATGAAGTACAGCATGTTCCAAATGTAATAATCGGTCAACATCAATATCCAGTTTGGCTAGCTGAGGCGTTCGTCCACCCCACCATATTCTTATATTATTTGAAACTTAATGAAGCAGGGGAAAATTTTCTTGGATATGTGGGAATGTTCGAGTGGATTAAATACGTAGAATTCTATAACGACATGCCGACCAAGAAATCGACAACTGTAATTGCTGCATTGAAGAAGGGGGGTTCGAAGAAAAACTTTGGAAAATATGGTTTTTTCATGGAAACAGCGCCAAGAAAGCATCATACAGGAAGCGAAAAAGGACAAGAAAAATTGGTAATTATAGGAAAAAAAGCTGCTTACTCGACAAAATAGAGTTAGAACGATGATACTGGATGAGCTGATGATAGAATGGCTAAAACAAGGCTTTACTAAAGAAAGACTCCTCGATCATCTCGGTCTTTCGCCACACCTCCCTCATACCGGGCTCGACGTACTTCGTTTAAAAGCATGGATGGAGTACGTGAGACTGCTGGCTCACAAAACCAAGAGTTCGTTAAACGAAAACTTGAGGCAGGCATATGTTCATTACAAAAAGGCGATGTTCGAGTCTTATTCATGGAAATAGATATACATTGGACCAGCTCGAAAAATTTTCAAAGAAACTCAAACATTTGCAGTTCAATAAAAATAAAAGGTTGGCCGAGGATCTAGCCAAGTGGTGCAAAGAAAAGAAAGAGGAATCGAATGGTCCAGGAAAAACTGCATCGACTTCTCTGGGTGCTAAAGGTAAACTAAAACAAAATAAGCGGAAAAGGAATACGTAAGCTCCATCTTAGAGATGCACTTCGCCGGTGGCGCTTGGCGCATATGCTGTCGCGATATGAATAGTTTTAAGCGCGGTAAATCTTACCGATATGATGGAACCTCTGGGCAGGTGAGAAATGTTTCGTAAATGGCCTAGCAAGAATGTGATGAAGAGATTGGGTACGTCAAAAATAGGCATTAACAATAAATGTAAGCTTCGAATGTTCACAACTTTTAATCTCCATTGGTATTTTACGACATCTGTAACGGGCTCAACGTTACACGTACCCGTTAAGTATGCGATACTTAACGGGCAGGTCTAAAATGGTACGTAAGTACTTAAGACCTGGGACACACCATGTGTCACATCCTTGCGTATGTGATATACACTAGGTGTATTCACATTGATGGGGATGACGCCCAGCTGGGACTAGGCGTCATCAAATGACGTCAGTAAGTTACGTCAGTGAGCGAGCTTAAATATATATTTAAGCTCGCACGTTGAAATGCGCATCTATACAGATGGCACCCATCATTACACTTTATAAAATATGCAGCTAAATATATATTTAGTACAAATCTTATTGAATATAGCTCAGTGTTGAATTGCTAACACTTAAGCACCACGCACGAGAAGCTAAAAAAAACTTTTACGTGACGTCGGTGACTTTTTGTTTAGAAGTTCGTTGCACTTTCGCTTAAGCGAGAGGCAACTGGTGGTACGACTGCTTAAGCAGTCGACCAACCGCATAACCACCCTCGCACGCGAAGGTAAGACGGTCTAACCGCTTCCTCGCTTGTGCTGAAGGTGTGTGCTAGTAGCACCAGGCAACTTCGTAGAAGTGCCCGTCTACACTTGGTAGCACTAGTAGCCCTTCCCACGACCCGTTTTTCTGATCGTGCGTGTGGTTCAGATGGTACTTAATATGGACTGGAGTGACTTCCCTCACCTCTCCCAACATCCATCATCATAGGGAGTTGGCAGAGCATATGGCGCAGGGACTTGGTGAACAAGCCCTGGTCAATCTCTTGCATAGTCCTCCTGAGCAACATGTTGCTCAGTTGGAGCAATTCGAAACGTTTGTGCTCGGACAGCGTAGAAACACGTCCGAGGTAATCAGCTAAGCCATCGCTGAGTCCATCAATTGGACTCAGGATGAGCTTAGGCTTGAGCAGGCACGTAATGAGGCGCTCAACGGAACTGTTGAGACGCTCTCTGCCCGGCCTGCTCAATCGAGGCCCATTCGGATGGACCCTACGAAGTTCAATGGAACTACCCCTCACACGATTGTTCACTGGTTATTAGCAGTTGAGCAATGTGGAGTGGCGCAGCTCATCGAAGACGACACCAGAATGGTGTCGTATGCCATGTCCAACTTGCGTGGCAAAGCGTCAGAGTGGGCATACTCTGCGCTGATGGCTAATGCTGATGCATTTCCATCATGTGCGATCTTTAAAACAAAGATTCGCGCCAGGAATCAGCCGCCTAACAATAAAGTGATACTCCAGGCTAACTCCTTTAGAGCCCGACAGGCGAACCCTCTCTGCAAGAATTTGTGCAGGAGATGCGTTCGCTGTCGGCGTCCATCAATGGGGAACCGATACCAGAGCGTATCAAGGTAGCCACGTTCATGAATGGACTTAGGCATGGCCTATCGCGTCAGGACCTTTTCAGAAAGGTGCCAGCGACGATGGAAGAGGCAATTGACATTGCCTTAGTTGAGGAGCAATCCTACAACAGCGCCTCGGCGACAGCCTATTACAGGCCGTCGTCCGAGAAGTCTGATGCCACTCCTATGGAATTAGGCAATGCAGATGTGATCTGCTACAAGTGCGGCAAGCGCGGCCATATGATGGCTCGCTGCTATGCCAAAGTAGCTGCTGGTGCTAAGGCAGCCAGCAAAAGATCTCCCAACCCGAAGGGAGGTGCGAAAAACCAGCGTGCACGACGCACGGGTTCAGCACCTGCCCAAGATGGGTCGGGAAATGCGGGAGCGCAGTAGGGGTGGGATGCCCTACTGTCGCGGACTCTGAAGCTACCCCAAAGTTCAGAGTGATCGAACAAATGGGTAGCATAGTCCCTGAGGTTCCGAAAGGTCGGACCTCAACCCTTTTGGTCTATTTCGCTCGAGTACGAGGCTATGACCAAGTGATAACCCTTCTCGTGGATTCGGGTGCATCACAAAACTTTGCGAAACTCGCGGCTCTGAAAAAGAGACCGGCGAGTTATGAGTCGCTTTGCCAGGATGGCAAGAGAGAAGAGGCGATCGTACGTTTAGCGAACGGCGCGCTCGTTAAATCGGAGGGAGTTCATGTTGAACTCGCCTTCAGTTTCAGTGACTTCTCTTGTAAAGAGAAGTTCACAGTGCTAGGTATGGAGAGTCCGTATGACCTCATCCTAGGCATGCCTTGGTTGGCTAAACACAAACCATGAATAGACTGGCGTACACGCACAGTCGCTAGCTCTACGCAAGACACCGGAAAGGATATGCTCTTGCGAGAGGCTTATGTGGCTGATGAATGTCCAACACAGTCGAGAGTGCAATGACGGTATGTCAATCGACACCAGGAACTACCCAGCTCGAAAGGAGTGGTGTAATTGGAAGTGCACTGGCGGAAAGCCAGGTGATACATATTCCTACCCAGGTCGAAGAGACTGGTGTAGTGAATGGGGCGATGACAGGTAGTCATGCGTCCAATAGTCCTGCACAGAGCCGAGAGCCTGTGGCAGTTGATGGTGGGCTGACAGGAAGTCAAGCGCCACAAGAACCGGCACAGAGCCAAGAGCCTGGTGCGGTTGGAAGGAGTGCGTTAGCTGAGATAGCAACGACACCTTCTTCCAGGTCAAAGGTCGCGGTGACTCGAAGAACGAGCACCAGACTTATTAAGACGATCAAGGGCACGTCGAAACGAGTGAACCTTGGATCAGTCTCGGTCCAAGAGGACGGACCTACGAACGAGTTGTTCGAGGCCGTCGAAGACAAAATGCCGAAAGCATCCTCAGATGAGGTGCTCCAACTTGGCTTGGCATCTGCCGAGGAGATAGTAAATCTCTCGGAGATGACGTAGGATCTATTCCTGTCCGAACTAAAGGAAGGAAAGATCCACGAGATAGTCGCACCAGTTCCAGAAGAGAACGTGGTGGACTGTTGCTCTTCATCCACAATGGATGAGAGCGTCTTGGAGACCGACATAAAGAAACGGTTCGCTGCTCAAGGCTGGGATGCCTTGAAGGACAGCCCGTTCTATGATGTTCTGTGGAAACACCGTGATGTGTTTCCAGCAGAAGTGCCGAGCCGCCTACCGGCCGATAGGGGCATCAGGCACGAAATTGACCTGGAGCCTGGCACCAAGTATTGTGTGACCAGGCAATGGCCGTTGCCGAAGGAACAAGTCGATTACATCGATGAGTTCTTCGACAAGCGAGCCAAGGTGGGACATGTGCGTGAGAGCAAGTCGCCTCACTGCAGCCCGACCTTCTGTGTGCGTAAAGCAACAGGTGGATGGCGCGTGGTTCTTGCTTGTAAAAAAGCTGAACACGGCCACAATTATGGCTCAAACGCCGATCCCGCGGAAAGATGTCTTGTTGAATTCCATGGAAAGTAAACTATCTTTTCCGCGTTGTATCTGAAGGATGTCTATTATCAAGTTCTCATGAGATATACTGATGTAGCCAAAACGGCAGTAAGCACCCTAAGCGGTATGCTGTGGGAGCGGCTTGTGATGCCACAAGGTTTGAAAAATGCTCCGGCAACATTCAACCGAGTGGTGGCTCACGTGATGCGTCAACACCGTGCCTACGCACCCCATTACTTTGGCGACGTGTTCGTGCATTGTAGGGCGGAGGAAATTCTGAGACCAATAGAGTCGCACAAGCGTCATATAGACGCTGTGTTGCAAAATCTGTGCGACGCCAAATTATACGTAAACTTGCAAAAGTGCGTAATAGGGGTCCCCAAGATACCTGTGCTGGGCTGCATCGTAGATGCACATGGTGTACGAGCAGACCCAGAAAAGTTAAAGGCTGTAAAGGAATGGACAGTCACAAGTCACGTGAAGGATCTGCGCCAATTCCTTGGGCTCGCTAATTACTTGCATAAGTAGAGCAAGAATTATGCGGAGCAGACTAAGCCATTGTCTGATCTTTTGAAGAATGATGCAGAATGGACTTGGTCAAAGGAACAAGAAGATGCGTTCACATCAGTGAAGCAATCTCTTGTGGAGGCACCAGTCTTGACGTTGCAAGACGCGGATAAGCCTTTTAGCGTCGTCTGCGATGCAAGCAATTTTGCAATCGGCAGCGCGCTCATGCAAAATGATGACAACGGCGTTGACCGCGTCATTTCGTATCAGTCTCGGCTTTTAAAAGCTGCCGAGCTGAATTACCTTGTGCATGACAAGGAGCTACTTTCAATTAAGTATGCCCTTGTGAAGTTTCGGGTGCACCTCTTGGGCACCGAACTTTTTGTGGTTTATACGGATCACGCATCACTGCGGACCGCTATAAATTCACCGCAACTCTCGCCGAGAATGGCAAGATGGCTAACATTCTTTTCTGAATTTAAATT